GCACATGAGTATTTGGGTCAATACATATTGTTAACTAATAGTGTTCTTTAGAACTCATGATTTGGAAACCTATCTAAAAAACTGGATTAATCTGAGTTTATTTACTTTGCTCCACTCTCGGTGCAAGTATGAGACAGTCAACTGACCTTTGCAATTTATCAGTTTAATGATAGTCAGCCCTCAGCCTTCTCATCTTTAAGTTTGATAGTTATGAAAACTAAAGTCCAAACAGGTTGTTTTCACCTTTTCTCATGGGCACTATCTTCCCAATTGCATTATTATTCTCCTCAATAAAATGAAAGTGAAATGCATTTTTATGCCAATATTTCATAAACAAGACAGAATTCTGACACATTATCTAGAGTTTATGTTCTTTAGGGGAAAACCATGATGCTGTAAAATGTTTGTTGCACTATTTGGAGTTCTTAATAGAAATTCCAGGAGGTCAAAAGATCTCTGGGCAGTTTGTATACCTACAGAGGGGAACTAATTGCCTCTCTTCTGACAAAAGCTCAATGAGACCTGCATCCTAGGCAGCTAAGACCAGAGTCTTCCCTCTCACCTCTAATTCTAAGACTTCGTTACCTGTGCTTGCCTTGGGTCAGTGCTGTACGCCACAGAGGCAGGGCCAGAGCTGTGAGCCAGGATCACTCCTGAGCTATGCCATTCACCCCAGTTCTACTGCAAAATGAAATCCCTACATTTGACTTCATATCACTGCTGTGTTGCTATTGTTATTTTCACTTTATTATTGTTGTTATTTTATTAGTTTGGCCAAAATTGTTTTTTTTCCCATACGGTGGCTCTAGTAGCACTTAGTTGTCTTTAACTTCATTTGAAACAATTGTGTTAGATTGTATTATGACAGCTGTCATATCAGTGTGCATTTGAAAAAAAAACTTATCAAAATTGGTGAATCATTGTGTAGCCATTTTAAAATTGAAGATGGAAGAAAATAAGCAACATTTTCAGCATATTATGCTTTATTATTTCAAGAATGGTAAAAATGCAACTGAAACACACACAAAAAAGATTTGTGCAGTGTATGGAGAAGCGCTGTGACTGATCAAACATGTCAAAAGTGGTTTGCAAAGTTTCATGCTTGAGATTTCCCACTGGACATTGCTCCACAGTTGGGTAGACCAGTTGAGGCTGATAGTGATCAAATCGAGACGTTAGCCGAGAACAATCAACATTATGCTGTGCAGGAGATAACTGACATACTCAAAATATCTAAATTAATAAAGTTATTGGTGAAAATGAAAAACATGTCTTTTATTTTATGAAAAAAAAAACATATGGACTTTTTGGGCAACCTGAAATATATTTAAAATTCTTAGCTTTGAAATCTAGTTTGAATTTGAGAGGCACAATACAATAAATTTTACCATTTAAAATGATAGATATAGATAGCGTTAAATCAACTTTTTTCATTTTTCAGATTTATTAAGCTTTTTGACTTAATCCAGAAACTAAGGATTCTGATCAGCCTCACTTCTAAAGTGAGAAAGATGTTTGTATTTATTTGGACTGGGATATGCCCTATGTTGGGATGAGGGAGCATTCCATACTGACAGACGTTATGTGGTTGTTTTTTTTACATTAGATGAACTTTGTATTTTTCCTTGGCTGGGAATGCACTCTCTATAAACAAAGATGTTCTACAGCTCCTAAGGGAGAGGAATGAGGAATAAATATACTTACTAAAGGAATAAGATTTTCCTGATCATTATCGGCTCAGACTGAAAGTGTGTGGAATGATGTAGAGAAAAGCTAACAATTCTTGAAAACCTATTATGTGCTGGAGACTGTTCTTGTTATATAGTTGCCGTGTCTTATTTTATTATCTTCACGATCTCATAAAGCAATTACCGTTTTCCTTGTGGTACAGGTGAAGAAACTGAGGCTCGGAGAGATTAGGTAACTAATCTAAAGTCACAGATCCCAGGCATGGCAGAGCAGGGAATCAAACAACGCTTATTCAGATTCCAAGGTCAATCCCTTTCTGCTCCTGTGTGGACTAAGGTGGGCGAGGGGCCCGCACCCCATATTAGGGGCTGGGTCTAGTCACTGAATGGAATCCCATGTATTTCTGTTAGGTTTAGGGACAATGAGAATGTCAAAGTGGAAAGAGACTTTGGGGTCCAGTCAGGTTTTTGCCTAACCACTTGTTTTCTAACCTCTTTTGTTGTGCCCTTCACCGTGAATGTGGAGGAGGTGCTGGTGTTCTATGCTGATGGGTACTGAGCTTCTCAAGAGCTTGAAGGGGGCTCTGTTTGTCTTAGGACCAGCCATGCACCAATAGCTATGCTGCTGTTGTTTGGAAGCTTTAGCATTCATTGCTTCAAATGGATTACTTCTTTATTATTTTAGTATAACATCATTGTTCATCTGGCTTATTTGAAGTGTTAAGGAGACTAATCCTGTATGATAATGACATTTAAGTGGAACACCAAATCTATAGGGATATTCAGGGCATTTTCTTTTAAAAATTAATCTTTTTTAAATCTGCACTAACTGCCACTTTATCCTTTTTTAGAGAATTTCACCATTTTAATGACTTGATACTGTTTTGCTGAAAGGTGCAGAGATATGTAAAAAGAAAGTATATTTTTCCCTTTTTAATGGATTTTTTAAATGTTCAGAATTTTTATTTGCTGTACTTTACTCTGTCTTATGTTTTTTTCTATGATGCAAGCCAAGTGTCCTTTGCTTTAAAGTGACATTAAACACATTTCTTTTAGACAAACCAAAGATTACAATCTTCATATACACTGATTAGATTTCTTCCAACAATTTAACAATTTAAGTTTATGCTGTGAATGTGAGTGGGTGGTTTGACTCTGGAGCAGGCAGTGGGCACCTCAGGGTCCTTTTTCAGCAGGTATTTGAGTGCCTCTCACAGAACTTCCTCTCTGAGTATTTAGAGTTCCCTTCTCCCACGGGTAAAGGTATGTGCTCTGTGCTTGAATATTCATTGTGTAGTTTTATAGTTCATTTATCAAATGTCTATTACATGCCAGACACAGGATTACCTTACATACATTCACATCTCATGTAATCCTCACAACCACCCTGTAAAATTGTTATGGCATAGGCTTAGAATATTCTCTTTATTTTTTGGAATAGGAATCGGAAGCGTGGGTAGATCCACTTTCCATGGGTGCACAGTAGGTGCCTCAAGATAGCAGGGCTCACCAGCTCTATTTGCCTTTTTCAACTTGAAGCTTACCTGGGAGTGAACTAGCTGCAGAGTTTTAGGAGATAAGGCTAGCAAAGTGGTGGAGGGCTTTGAATTTTATTCTAAATGAGACACCAAACTGTGTATTCATTTATATTGACTGGGCACCTCACACGTGCCCACCAATCTAGGCACTGGGGGCATCACAGCGAATCAGAAGACAAAAACCCCTTCCTTCTAGAAGCTTATATTCTGGCTGCTGGAGTTTTTGAGCAGAGAAACACTGCGATCTGGTCAAGTTTAACAAAGGTCCCTCCGGTGCAGTGTGGAACATCCCCTGTAGAGGGGTGGAGACTATGGCGGGGAGACCGGTTAGCAGTGACTACAACAACCCAGACAAAAGAGGGTGGGGGGTTGGACCACAGTAATAGCAGAAGTGAGAAGCTGGATTCTAGATAGACTTAGAAGAAAACACCAGTGGGATTTGCTGAGCATTTGAGTATGGAATCACCTTGCCCAGGCTTTAACTGGAACTCAGATCAGTGTGCATCCTAAACTGGTGCTTTTTTTTAATTATGTTAAAATGTTCACGTGTAAAGTGGCTTCACAATGATCTTCAATTTAGTGGAAAACATAGCTGCTTTTCAGCTCCTTAGCACAAGGCTTATAAAAGGAGAATACCATTGGTGCTGGAGGAGGCAGGACAGCACTTCCTTTCCCAGGAGCATTTGTTGTCTGGGCTGCAGCCGACCAGCCTGCTCCTTTGGTGGCCGTGTGCCTTGGTGGCGGCACTATGTGAATACACGTGAGATTTGCAGTGTGACCATCTCAGAGCCACTCAGGGTCTTTCCCTACGGCCCCACTGTGGTGAGGTGGGAGGATGGGTCCTCTTAATGAGACTTAAGCCCTGCCTCATATTCTGCCTGTGTTATTTCTCCAAAATGACATTATGAGGTCTGAATCAGACCAGGTTTTAATTCTTGGTCACAAAGTGGAACTTTTAGTGTACAGTAGTCCCTTTTTAAAAAAGTTTTGGAAACAGAGCTGCCTTGTAGTTAGCTTTTACTGAACAGATCTTATCACTCAAAAATTGTTCTACATATATCAATCTGTCACTAACTTTAATAATCCCAAGATACAAATTTGTATGTTTCAAGTCAAAGAAATTGCCACCAAGCAGTTTATGCAGCAATAAGATGACTAAAATGTCATTCTCATTCTATTAATTTTTCATTGACCTTAACTGAATGACCTTATATTTCCAAGTTGGAGAGCAACACAACCATGGGTAAACATAAACATTGCCCCTGCCTCACAGCAATTCCATCGCTGAGCATAGCACGGGCAGCTAGATATACCTGTGGATTTCGAATAAAAAGCAATCCCCCACACACCTTATCTGGAAATGGAGCCAAATGATTTGGTTTCAGTTAATCATTGTAAGGCCCCATGAGCTGCCTAAAGTCCTTGTAACTGCATCTTCTGTGTGTGATCTAACATCCCACTGAACATTGGGTCTTTTGGGGCAGGATGTCCAGATAAAGATAAAGATAAAGATAAAATTAGAGGCTGTCACTTCCTGGCCTGCAGACAGCATTTGCACAACCCCTTTCTACATTAACCTGCTGGAGAGCAGCCTGAGGGTGCTCCTTTCCTGGGGCGGTGACACTCCGAATCAGACCGCCGCCCCAGCAAGAGATGAGTATGCGTGCTTCTGATTCCTTTCTGCCTCCAGAATGCAGATGAGAGGCCTTGCCATTTAAAAAAAAAAAAAGGTTAAAATCAATGGAGGAGTCACTTACTTTATTATTTTCCTCAGGGCTGCGTCCAAAGAGGACTCTGCGTTTGGTGCTCTGGACTGCAGAGGAACAGGGTGGAATCGGTGCTTTCCAGTATTACCAGTCACACAAGGTAAGAGCAGCCACGATTGCTGGGCATTTTTGCATGTAGTAACAGTGTAAATGAAAATGCCCTCTCTTGTCCTGAACGCTCTCTCAATAATACTCGGTGGTAAGTTGACCCCAGCAAGCATCTCTGGTAAAAGCCTCTTCATCCAGCCCGTAAAGGAAAATGCGCTGGTGAGCTGATGGTGCAGTGGTGCGGAGCTAAGGCCTTCCGCACTAATCTGTCGCCTTAGAGAAATCCCAGCTGCCACGCTTGCTGTTTTCTTAAAGGCTCTCCAGTTCTGCTACACTCATGTGTGCCCAGAAATAGTAACAGGTAAGCATTCCCTCTTTGCACTGAGCCCACTACTCCCATACTTCGATGCCCTGAATCCTTGGAGCACTGGTGTTTGACAGCCAAGTCCCAAGGCCTTGAGTCAGCAAGGGAATGGATCACAGTGGTAGGAATGGCAGTAGCCCAGGGTCTCAGACACTGACTACCATACGACAAAAGTGAAGCCTGAGGCAAGAAGGTGACAGTGGGAGATCATGCTTAGAAATATAAGGCCCCATTTAAGATGGGAGACAGGGAGATTAGTGTCAAGAACAACCTTTGAGGGAGAGGGCAGTGTACAAGCTCAAAAGTACTCTGGATCAAATCAAACGTTAGGTTGAGAAGGAATTCCCCGATCAGTGGGGTGCTGCTGGGCAGCGATGGTCAGGCAGAGGGGCGGGACCTGGCCTGCTCCTGCCATTGCAGCTCCAGATTGGAAGGAATAGACCCATCATCTTATATTATTAAAATCAGACAGAGTATTAGTTTTCTAAATTGTGGTTATGTGCTTTTAAATCATTTTGAAGTCAGGATCTATAATCTTCTTTCAGTTAGTTGGAGCTTAAGAATAATGAGTTCATTGCCATGAATTTGGTCGCTGAATGTAGTTTTTATTTTTCTAAGAAAAATCATCCTTTATCCCCAATTCTTTGACCACTTACAGTTCTTTTGGCCTCACACGATCCTGGAGAACAGATAATTCCAGCTAAGGGTTCTTTGGTTTGTGGGTCAGTAATGTCATTTTCTATGTTATGATGAACTAGAACATCAAATGAGAGTCATTCAGTAACAATCAGTTAATATTTCTGACCACCTACTATGTTTCAAGTACTATATTAGGCATTAGGATTAGTGTCAGTAAGACAATTAACCCTAACCTTTCTGAGATTTCAATCTAAAGGATATTGAACTTCAGTTGTTACTTCACTTTAACAGAACACTTCAGTTGTGTGAAGTGTTCTGATAAAGAATAAAGTATTGATGGCAGAGATAGGAAGTTCATGGACTCAATTTTATCATCTCAACTTATTAAAGTTTATCTCCCCAATCAACCCTCACAATGAAGGGAGAATCCTAGGTAATCATTATGCTTTGCTCGTTGAGAACAGACGTTGTAGTATTATTTACAATTAAAATGTACAATCAAGCATGCCATTCTAAGTGTTGGTATGACCGTGAGAAAACAAAGGCAATATAATCTTTAGCACTACAACCACAGATCGATAAACTATTATTATTGAAAACTTACTCTACTATAAACACTCTAGCCTGAGAGAAGCTAAATCCATGACCTCCGTCACATTTGCTCCTCCTTTTTCCTTTATTATTTCTATTAATGACAGCATCAGTCTCTCCACTGCCATGTGTCACAATGTCACTGACATTTTTTCTTCTTTCTTTTCCTTGTGCCCCACATCTAATCAGCAGTAAAGTACTATTGATTCTACATTTTATCACTTTATTTTATATTATTATTATTATTATTTTATTCTTGTTCGAGTACATTCTATCACTTTAGATGCATCTTTCATTTCCAGGCTTTCTGTTGTTTTTCTAGTTCCAGCTTTCTGTTCTACCCATCATACCAACTTAATCTTCCCTAAACCCAACTCAAATCCAATACACCTTCTGCCCCAGACTTTTGGTTGTTTCTCAGTGCTAATAGAATCTAGTCCAAACTCCTTAGCTTCTTGGCCCTTATGGTTCTCCATGCCATGGTTTTCCACCATTCTCTTCCACGTCCTCTAGTCTGACAATAATGAGGAGCTTCTTACACATCCCACAGTGGCTTTTACATCATTACTTGTGCAGTTCCTTTTCCTTGAGTTCCCTTCCTTCCCATTCTTCAGGCTCCTCAAGGGTGAACCCAAATGTCCTCTTTCCCATAGAGCTAACTCTCCAACCCCTGACTGCACATAATCTCCATACCCTTGAAGTTAATAACACCTTATTTAGACATTTCTCAGGATGTGGTATAATTTATAATTTATAGAAAGGAAGGAGGGAAGTAGGGAGGGAGGGAAGAAGGAAAGGAAGGGAGAAAGAAAAAGGAAGTTACAGTCTTAGGCTATAAAGACCTTGCTTTCTACTTAAACATTAACTTTAAACATACACATAAGAAATTTAGTGTAACAAACAATATATAATAGGTTCTAAATAATTTACTAAAAATATCTTACCTTTGTGAAGGGCTCTATCATCGACAAGGTACAGAATGGTAAAAAAAAGCTTGATATAAATAAATGTAAAGGTGTTAGAAAAGGGATAAATGACTATGACATGTTAGTCATGAGGAAGGCCCAGGACCTAATCCTTACATGGATTGGAGTGAGTAAGCAGGAGTGGAGAAAAGGGAAAGCCAGCCCCCTTTATAAAAATGCCCAGAAGCATTTTGATGTCAGATACTAAGTAAAATAATTCAAATGGTAAATACTGAGTTTTTCATTATATTTTGAAGTCAACTGGAGCAGAAATCATTCCTGGAGTCCATCCATCATGCCCATAACAATTCATAGCAACAAGTCCCATGAAGGAAGTGTATGCATTTTTCTTACTTAAAGAATGCTACTTTACATATATTTTGATAAGTTATAAAAATGTTTTCTCCTGGTTTTAAAATTCTTTCCACTGCCTCTCTTACTTCACATTAGCACATGAACCTGAAAATTATTTATATGTAGACTGTATGTTCTTTATGTTTATTGATTTTTTTAGAAGTAACATTTTTCATGCTGAGGGTTTTATTGAGGTATAATCAGCATTCAGTAGTAGAATGCACAGATCTTATGCATAGAGCTCAATGTGTTTGGTGAATGTATGCCCCTTGTAATCATTGCCCAAATCGAGTTGTAGAGCATTCCTGTTACCTAGGAAGTTTCCCTATCAGGTCATCTTCCGCCAAAGGTTACTATTGTGCTGATTTTTATCACCGCAGAAGGTTATGCCTATTCTTGAAATTTATGTAAATGGAACCATGCAGTATGTACTTTTAAGTCTTGCTTCTTGCCAGACGTAACAGTATTGTTTTTGTGATTCATCGTGTTGTTGCATTAACAGTGGTTTGTCTCTTTCTACTAGTCATTTTGTGTTGCATGCATGTACTACAACGTCTTACCCGTCCTCTTGTTGATGGACATTTTAGCTGTTATAAATAAGACTTTTGTAGACATTTTTGTACAAACCTTTTAGTGGATATATGCAATTCTTTTCCAGGAGTAGAATTGCTGGTATATGTATAACTTTGCTAGAAACTGCCAAAGAGGTCGGAGACTATCATTCTATTGCAGTATGTTCCCACCAGCCACATAGGAGAGTCCTAGGTACTCCCCAGCCTTCCCAATACGTTTTATTGTTAGACATTTTATTTCTCGCCATTCTTGCGGAAGGAACATTTTTATATTTTTCAAGGTACAGTTCTGAAAAGTTATCCTTCCACTTCTAATGGTCCTCATTCTTTTCCCTTCCTGCTTCCTTGCCTTACGACACCTTCCCTCTGTGTCCTATCTTTTGGTGTAAGGAAGACCAAAGGCCTTTTTTCCCTGCATGAAGCTTGTGCGACTGTGAGTGGTTAGACTGACCTTATTTCAGTTTGGAGGAACACCTTGGAAGAGCAGGATATAGAAATACCATCCTGCTTGTAACCACAACCAGTTCCCCAGAATATAGGCTTCACAGGCGGATGGGTGCCGTTGGAACTCTGCTGGGACCAAAGGATGGCCTGAGGAGAGATTGATCCCCAGCAAGGCTGGGAGAGGGAGATTGCTCTACTGCCTAAAAGAAAGAGGGTGACAGAAAATGCTTTTGTGTTATTCTTTGTTTATGAAATTACTTTATAATAATATAAACTTTATTGGTTGAATTCAGTTTGCATTCCCTAAGAAGCAAGTATCACCACATATACGAGGGTATTATTGTGTTCTAGTTATTTTTCAGACTTTACTTATAGGAGTGGAATTTAACTTTAAGATTAAAAATATTATAAATTATTTTATTGAATTTTCAAATCAGTGAATAAAATGAGTGTTGTCCAGATGCCATTTGACTAATTTGCTTTTCATGGGAACAATGTTTCTTTCTTCTCTACTCTTGGAAGGAGAACAGGATGTCATTTCTCATGTCCTAAAGTGTACAAAGGAAAAAAACACCCTAGAATAGTTTTAACTGGATTGCTAGCATTTTTTAATCTTTTCCATTTTAAGCAAAAATATGATCTGGCATAATTATAATAAGTAAGGTAATCTGGCCTGAAGAAAGCCTCATTACACAAGATAATCAAATAAAATAGATTGATAGGTTCTATCTGGCATGAAAAATATTTTAACCTTTTCCTGATTTATTGCACAAACTACTGGCAATTGAATTACAGAGATTATGAACACTGCTGTGTTCTGGTAGTCATTAATAAGGGCAATATTTTAAATAGGCTTCATTAAATGAGGGATGGAAAGTACGATCACTCTAAATATATCCGTTTATCCTAACTCTAGCCAACTCTAAATGAGAAAAAGCTAAAATGAATATGTACAATATTTTTTTCAGAATTCCTTGTGTTGCAATGCTGAGGAACAAAATTTCTCTTTACTTAGGTAAATATACAAAAACGCTAGCTTCTTTTAGTGGTGAACTTCTTGCCAGCTCCCCAACCAGCATGAGGTTCACGTTTCACTCCAAAATAAAGGAATATGTTAGAAGTG